GTCCAGTCAGCATTATAAATTAAAACCATGCTCATAATAGCATTAGGGAACAGCAGCCTTGTTAGCAGGTCTCTGGGCTCTCTCTGTGCTTGCTGGGATGGATGTCTGTGCCTGAACACATTAAGTTAACATTGTTTGTGCACTCTCCGCAGGAATTTTGCTATAATGCCACTTTTAGAAGAAACTACAGGTTTTCTGTATAGGTTTCCTGTACCCCCAAAGCGTGAGAGGCCAGACAGAACAAGTTCTGATACGTCCCAATGAACATATATTGATGTACTGTCACACAAAGAAGGGTCTGTGAAATAAAGAATCTAGCCCGTACACTGGTGTGTGGTGGCTAGGTTACCAGGAGTATTCCTGCACCCTGAGAATCTATCGGCTAGCTATAATTGTTCCCTAGTCCCTTTATATCTGTCTATGGATGCACAATACCCCAAAGAAGGCAAATAGGAGGCAGGGCCATGGCCTGGGCACATCAGAGCAGGTGAAGTGCACCAGAGGGAGCAGGCTGAATCATCCCATAGGAAGGTGCAGCCAGCACACCCCTCACTCATGGAAAGCTTGGAGAGAAAAGATTGGGCTACCATACTGCCCCCAAGACAGGGCTGTGACTTAAAAGTATAGCCCTAAGTAAGGGTCAGTCCTTGACTGGAAGGTGAAGGTGCACAGACTGGTGGGAGAAAAGCCAAGAGAAGCGGACAGCTTCAAGAAAGAAACCATAAATTGCAACCCTGCTATCAGCACACAGGACACTACTACCAATCCTTTACTGTGGTAACTGTTTTCCTGACCTGCAGTCACGCAGCTTCTTCTAGCTTGTATCAATCAACGGTAAGAGTAAGTGTCTGTTTTTATGTTTTTCATCTGGTTATCATCTCTCTTTATTCAATAAATACTGTCATAATTAGGATTTGATTGTTGAGTTTGGAGTCACAGCTGTTTGACTAGATTAAGGATCCTCTGCCCTCTGGGCAGGAAAAGAAACCGCGTCCTCCTGGTCAGACAGTATTGGAGAGTGAAGCACCTGGATGTATCTATCATAGATTTTAAATGACACAGCCCATGGTTCTTCAGCCAACAAATCTCTTTAGATAGAATGTGCTGATCCAGGCTACTGTAGTGCTAAGATGTGACCTAGTGTATCAGTAGTGTTCACAAGTTCTAAACTATGGCTAAGCATTCAGAATGCTGCACTCCATTTATGCAAGTGTATTTTTAAAGTAACACACAAGAACACAGGCATGCGATGTATTTTCAAAATGGGTGTTGCACTGTGCACACAGTGTCGCATGACTCATTCAGCACTTCACAGAAATGGGAAGTGCCTGGGCAGATTTACAAGTTCAGATGCATAAGCTATTTAAAAGGGAGACATGTTCATGTGTTTAAACATAAACCTTTCTTACTATTTCACTATACTTACGCACCCTTTATGGTTTTCAGTTATTTAGCTTGTATAAAGTTCCCTTCTATAGTACATTGAATGCAGATTATAAAACACTGTCATAAGAGAGTCTGAGCATATAGTATGCTAACAGATCACTTCTAAGCAGCAAAGCTACAAGATGAGATAATGTGCAAACCTACTCACTACAAAATATTGTTAAGTTTGCAGGAAATATAAAGTGTCCTGAAGCATGTAGAGTTCTCAAAACATAATTTTAGGAGTATTCACCACATTCTTTCAGCATACACCAGAATCTTTTAAATGATATGTGGAGCAACATCTACAGTGAATGTTCATTCCTCAAGTGTTCTAATTTCAGTTGTTTATAACAATCTTTTACCTTTCTGTCTTAAATTTGGCAGGTTTGTTCTGAGTCCAGGAGTTAATATTTTTTTAAGCTTGTGCCAAATGGTTCAGCTACTCCCTACAACCAAGGGAGTGAACAAAATATACTTTCCTATTTTATATAAATACACACTTTCCAAAAAAATTCAGCCTGAGGCAGACACCTGGCATGGGAAATTTTAGCCCATACAATTAAAGTTTGGCAAAGTTATAAGTAACTGAAAACAGGGTCTTGTAATGGGAAAAGTCAGGCAATCTCAACGGTAGGTAATGCTGCCAGATCTGTGTATAACTTTTTGCACAACCTTAACTCCTCCCCTTTGGCTTATTCATTATTATTAATATAGTACTGCATATTTTTGAAGGACGCCTGTGTCATTCAGTTCACTCACTAGAAAGAGAATGAGGCAGCTTTGTGTAGTGAATCTGGGGTCTAGTGCACCCTTCTGCATTCAGGGACTGATCCAAAACTCATTAAAGGCAATGACAGTCTTCCCAGGACTTCAATAGGTTTTGGATCAGGTCCACACTGCAGACATTGTATAGTGTATGATGAATGAAGCAGTCCCCTGGAAGACAAATAAAGCTCATGTGGCACTAGACAGAGACCTTGGAGATTTGGAGTCTTTTACTGTCTCTCTCACAGACTTTGTATGTGACCTTGAGCAAGCCACACTTAATCTCTCTGTACCACAGTCTCACATTTGTAAAATGAGGATAATACTGCTTGACTTTGCAGGGGTGTTGCAAGGATCAATTCATTAACCACTGTGAGATGCTCACCTACTAATGTAATGAGCACCACAGAAAAGTCTACAAAGAAGGAAAAGCAATCCTTATGGGCAGCAGTGTTTGGATGATGTGCAGTATATGAAACAGGCGTGGAGCTATAAGGCGGATGATGGGGATCAGGGCCGGCTCCAGGCACCAGGCACCCAAGCTGGTACTTGGGGCGGCACCTGGAGGGGGGCGGCGCGGCGCTCTGGCCGCCGGGGAGAGCGGGGCCACAGCCGGGCTCGCCGCCCTCCCCCCCCGTGCCCTCCCCCCAGCCGGGGCTCGCCGCCCTGCGCTCTGGCCGCCGGGGGGAGAGCCGAGCCCCCACTGGGGCTCGCCGCCCTCCTCCCAGGGCTCCGGCCGCCCTCCCCTCCGGCGCCCTCCCCCCGGCCGCCGGGGGGAGAGCGGAGCCCCCGCCGGGGCTCCGGCTGCCCCCCCCGGCTCCGGCCGGCCGCACCCCCCTCCCCCCCACGGGGGGGGAGGGGGGGGCGGCCGGAGGCTTTTTTGCCTGGGGCAGCAAAAAAGCCAGAGCCGGCCCTGATGGGGATAAAAAGAAAAACTGAACAGCTGCCTCATTCACAGAGCAATGTCCACCTGGTGCATTGAATGAGCTGGGGTCCTGTAAAAAAGTTTAGTGTGATTATATAATAAAATACGGTAATGCTTTATGCCCAAGGGCACATAATTGGTCGGGCAAACTTAACTTTGTCTTGTCCTGGCTTCTGAGTGCTTTACTTTGCAACTGTAACTCTTTTAATATAATTTAAATAGATTGATACTAATACCTGATAGCTCTATTGTGACTTGCTGAATTTTGTGAATTAGCAATATGTCATGCACATTAAAAAGTGCTTTTCTAAATAAACAAACGACTGTAGTTTGGTTTTAATTATTTATGGTAACACTTCACAATATACCGTACTAGTAAATATGCTGTAATAAGGGAGGCAGTGTGACCTAGTGGATAGAGTACTGGACTGGCTCTGGAAATGTAGATTCTATTCCTGGCTCTGCCACTGGCCTCCTGGGTTGACCAGTCACTTCACTTCTCTGTGCCTAGGGCCTGGTCTACACTACAGTGTTAGGTCAATACAAGCTGCCTTAATTACATCAGTGAACACACTACAGCCTTGTTCCTGCCGATGTAAGTGCCCTACTACACCATCATAACTCCACCTCCACCAGAGGCATAGGGCTTATGTTGGTGTATTTAGGGCAACGCAGTGTCCCTGTAGACACTGCATTACTTACATCTATTGTCTATCATTCTCGTCAATTTCACAGAGCTGTGAAATTGACAAGAAAGTGAGCTTCTGGCTCCCGAGCTGAGCCACTCAGGCTCCTGGCTCCCCGCAGTAAGCCCTGCTGCTCCCCAGGGTCCTGGTTTCCCACTCCAGCCCAGCTGCCACCCAGGGTCCCCGGGCTCTCGGCTCCCCGCTGGAAGCATGGCAGCCGACTGGACTCTGGGTGTGGAGCTCCCCACCAGGAACCGGGCTGCCCCCTGGGGTCTCGGCTCCCCACTGGGAGCACAGCTGCGCTCAGCGTGGAGCTCCATGACCAGACTCCAGTTGGCTGCGGCACTCCTGATGGAGGAGAGCAGGACTCCTGGTGGGGAGACCGTACCCAGTGTCTGGTCAGCTGCCCCATTCCCGGTGGGGAACAGGGAGCCAAGAGGGGAGGGGCAGCCTGGTGGGATGTCAGGCTACTAGCAAGGAGCTGTGTGGAGCTGACAGCCCTGGCTCTGACAGCCCCCTGCACTGCCCCTCTGAAGTTGGTGGAAGCGTTCCTGGTGAGCACATGCATCACAGACAGAAGAAGGGCAGTGTGGACATGAATCACCCCAGTAATTACTGTGGTGGCTGTAAATAGACCTAACCTAGGACAACTTAAGTCTATAGTGTAGACATGCCCTGAGTTTCCCCATCTGTAAAATAGGGATTCTGAGACTAGCCTCCTTTGTAAAACACTTTGAGATCTATGGATGAAGAGCTAGATACTATTATTATTAGGTGTCAGTAATACAAGATCTCAGCCCCATTCTGTTATTAAATCTTTGCTGAGAGCTGAAGAGGGATTGCCTTTTTGAGTGTGAATTAGAGAGGTCCTGCTACAACACAGTAGTTTTGGACACTCAAAGGTGCATATTTGATTGTTGTGTCTTTTCTCATTCCCACAATGATACATATATCAGTTTGCCAAAATTACTTGGTTGTGGTTTAATATATAACCTGAATATACATTTTTTTTTAACATCTCATGATTGTTTCCATAATAATTTCTTTTTCTTCTAGAGACACTAAGATGAGTATAAAAGTTTATGCTCATCCCAATTTGGTTCAAAAATTACCTATGTTGAAAAATTCTGCTTTCATGCATCTAAACTGATGGGATGAAATACACAAAAGTTTTTCACCTGGATGAAGGTCTGTACCTGGTTGACTATTCAGGCCAGGGAGAGATTCCTGTAGCTGATAGGTTGATGATGATGAAGACGTGCCATCAGCTGTGTTGTTTGAGGTCATATATGCTCCATATGTTGATGCTGAATAATACTGTGCATATTGGTTTTGGCCAAAAGCTGTGTAGGATGGATAATCCTGGAAAAAAGTAAAGGCAATTTATTAAGTGAACCCATTTCTTTATCGTGTATTTTAAATGAAAAGGTTGATCAAATTTTCTCATGAAGATTGCAATATTTGGTTAGATATTAAAGTACACTGCTGTCCTATCAAACATTGAATCACAATAGTCCTGTTTTAACCTAAATTGGTCAAATTATGCAATTGCCTGATCACTTAAAATATTTTCTTATTCTGTTGCACATATAAAAGTATCAATATTCATACCTGTTGTGAACTACTGAAGTTTGTAGAATTCGAGACTGAATTATTTGCATAAATAGTAGATGAGGGTGTAAAACTAGAACCTAAAGTTAAAGGAAATAATTTGTTATAAAGAACCTATTTGTGTATTGAAAACGTTTTTCATATTACAACACAGACAAATCAGAAGCACAAATAACTGAGATTCTGACTTTAAAATATAAAAAATTCTAATGAATGCTCAACAGAAATGAAAAACTGCTTCCAGATTTATTTTTCCCTTTTCATATTGTTCAAGAAAACTTTAGAAAATATGTGGTTTTGTTCAAGAAAACCTTTTCACACTTACTACAGTGCCTCAACCACTCCCTTGTTTCTTTCCTCTTGTTCTTTCTCTCGTTATGTATATTCATTGCTTAGTTCACCTTCACTTGCAACCATCCAGTCTCAGCATAAAACAGTTCAAATCCCGTCGCCCTCTCAGGTAAAAGGGGGGCTTGAACCAAGGATTTTTCACATCCTAGATGAATACCCTATCCACTGGGTTAAGAACTGAAGGAAGCAGGCCTCCTTTCCCCATTGTTTTGTGTAAGCTCGCCTATAGACAGGCAAGCTAGTTAGGAGGAGGAACATCTACCTTCCCCGGTTTTTGCATCACTCTGGGGCTTATGGCGCTGCAGTGCACATGCTGAAAGGCAGAAACCTAGATGCCAAGGGAACTTTTACTGCAATAAAAAGTGAGTTTAGGCACCCACAGAGCATAGTGGCAGCTGAGCGGGGATTTTGTGAAGCCTAGTGGGACCTGATTCTGGGATTTAGGCACCTCAAGTGGCAGTCAGGTGAATCTAGCCCCTAGTTCCTATTGATTTCAATGGGAATTAAGTGACTAACCTGCTTGGGCTCTTTTGAAAATCCCACTAGGTGCCTATCTGCATCTTTAAGCCCTTAAATACTGGCCCTGGGTCTTTTGATAACTGTTTCTTATGAAGAAATGCACATCATAATGCTACATTAAAAGATAATACCTTGCATGAAGTCACATATCAGCCTGCATATACATTTCTCTTATTTTAATGCGACATAGGCACCTAAAAACCTTTGAACATCTGAACCTAAAGGCCTACTTCAGATATTCCTACTCACATTGAGCAACACCTCACTCATGAGTAGTGCCTCTGAAATGAAAGACAGAAAATGACGGTGGTGGTTACTGACCTGGCATTTGATATGAATACGGTGTTTGGCCGGGCTGTGGTGTGGAAAACCCTGGACTGTAACTAAGGCACCCACTCTGCAGTGGTGACTGTGTTTGCGAAAGCCCGCTTTCCGTCTTGATGCCTGGCAACATTACTCCCAAATCTGTGTGAGAAATTAATTTTCAACCGATTCTTTAAAATATTTTCTTGCAGATGGGGAGAAAAGTAAAGAATGTTCAAGTTGACAATTTTACTTCTAGTTAAGAAGGAACAACAATGAGAGGTAAAATACCGTAAGTAGGTAAGCTGTAAGGCTGTCCAGTCTGTGAGTAGGCTGTATAGACTGCAGGCTGTTGCATTCCTGAATACTGGGTCTGTCCGGAATAGGCAGACATTGTTTGAGCTGCTGGTGTAGAAAGAATGTGTGGATAGGGCCTAAATATTAGGAAAAATAGCATTACTGTGGCAACAAATACTTTGCATGTTGATTCAAGCAATAAAAGAAAAAGGTTTCAAGAAGTCAATAAACAGTTTTCTTTGTCAACAATTACTCTTCTGGAATCCAATCTAACCTTACTGAAGTAAATGGAGAGACTCTCTGGGTCACATTCTCTGGTGCAGCGTGGATGTTTTGTACCATACCACCAGCACGATATAACCTTAAAGCTGCTGTATCCAACTCCAGGTGGATCATCCCACTGTTAACATAGCTCTATAGGGTGTTGCGCCCCGCCCCCTTGGAGCAATGAGCATCTGGCATAAGTCAATCAGAGATGTCCTCAGGCTGCTCTAACCCAGTGAAGAAGAACTGTCCTAGACACAGTGGCAGCAGGATCAGGGAACTACAAAAGTGAGCACCAAGATACACAAACTTGTACTGTGTGCAGTTCAGCTGTAGCTGAGGATCTGGCCCTCTGACTTCAATGGGAGATGGATCGAGCCCATAGCGTGGCATTAAAAATGCCTACAGTAATACTTTAACAACAAGATGGGCTTTCAACATTTGGAAAATTTGGGTTACAGAAAAAAGAATGGAAATAAAAGTGATCTTTTGTTTATGAATACTGAAGTTTTATAGGAAGAGTGAATAAAATCAAGTTTAAAAATGTTACCCTCCAGAGTTGCAAAAATGTATTCAGAAATATTTGTCTTGGAAAGTCAAATAAGATTTTATGGACCAAGAGTGATCAAACACACTCTGAAGAATTATCGTAACTGAAACCTAGCCATTAAAAGCCATGACTAAATATCAAATACTAATTTCTTTTGCTTTTTTTTTCTAACTACTTCAGCATAGTTGGCAGCAGTTGCTATCCGAAAAAGATTACACTTTAATTTAGATGCCAAAAATTATTACAGTAAATTAAAAATTCAATAAGACCTTGTAATATATTTGGACAAGAATATCTGATGCACTGTTAGCCAAATCCCCTTGTAAGTGAAATTAGAAAGACTACGCTTAGTTCATTGTTGTTTGCAGTGTTGTTGTAGTTGCCTGAACAAGAGCTCTGTGTAGCTCGAAAGTGTGTCTCTTTCACCAACACAAGTTTGTCCAATAAAAGATATTACCTCATTCACCTTGTCTCGCTAATATGCAGTGTTGTGCAGCCGTGTTGGTCCCAGGATATTAAAGTCTCTCTCTAATATGCATAGTTTAGACATTTACTTGTCATCTTATTACATATTTGTTATATCATGATGTGAATACAAATTTACCAAAACAAAGTAGCTTAAGAAAGCATCACCCACTAATGTGTCAACGTTTTAATTTTAGAAGCATAATGCCAAATTTTCAAACATAGCCTCCTACCTGGCCCTGTCAAGTATGCAGAAGCAAACAAACTTCACACTGCAATCAGGAACATGTGTGCACAAAACTGGTAGTGCCACATGCAAATGAGCACGCTACCAACTCTAGTGATTTTATCTCAAATCTCACAATATTTGGTGTTTTGTTAAAGTCCCAGCTCTTTGAAGTCAATTGACTACATGAGACTCTCAATTTTAAGTGGGGGAAGGGAGTAAGTATCTAGTCCTTATAGTTGCAGAGAAAAGCTTGAAACGTGACTCCTACTGGTTTAAGAACCAGGAGGTAAATAAAAAGAATCCAACATACTTTTGCAGTGCCTGATTCATGATTTTTTGAATGCTTGGCAATACTGACTATGGAATGTGTATGTATAGAGAGTTCTCTTTGTTTAATGCACTAGTACTTATGCATTCAAGTACTCATTTTGCACATGGAATTGTGTTTTTTTCCCCCAATCAAGTGCCTGTTTCCATGGGTTTGAGCATATCCTGTCAGCACAACTTAGGTGCCCACGTTTGAGAACTTGACCACTGGGGCTCAATCTTGCCCTTACATGTGTACACAAAATCAATTATATACATTGTGCAACAATACATAACTGCACATCTAAGAGACAGACCAAGATCTTCACCAACTGTGAGAGAGAGAAAAAATAGAGAAATGATGCTAATGGGGATCAGTATCAAATCTTAAATTCTTAACTATGTACCCATTTGTTAATACACAATAAATAAATAAAAGTAGTAACACTTGTTGAAAACTTTGAACAACAGAATTGCCTGAAGTCTTGGTCATTCGCTATGATAGGCTAGAAAAGATGTGGTCACTAACTTGGAGGGATATATCTGCGGCGAGTACTGATGTGCTGATCTTGGACTGTAGCCACTACTTGTTATTACTGCAAAACAGAAAACAAGAGTGCAACGCTTAACAAAAACAAAAATGGATTTAATTCACATACCAAAACTTTGCAGAGATAATGAATGCTAAAATATTACATTTGAAGAGTATTTAACTAAAATGGGACAACCTTTCATCAAGGCTAAACTACTACATTTTTAATATGCAAACTGAAAACATACAGTAAACTCCCAAGTAACCCAGGTTGTAAAAATAATTGTCTCCCAGTATCAGCATGCAGCACCTTTTAAATTTGATTTATATATTTCTGCATACATTTTAGAGGCATACAATTCACACATAATATTTGATCCACAAGCCAGGAAGCTGTCACTAATGGAAACTTAATTGCCATTTAAAAAAAGCTTGTGATCTAATGTATAGTATTATATAGGATTGAAAAAATTATAAAATCTCCTTTAAAAACCTGACACTTGCAAATTTAAATACAATTTTCAAAATATTTTTTCTTTCAAGTTTGCAAAATTCACTAAAAAATTCAATCATGAAAGATATCAAATTGATAGCCCGGGAAAACAAATTCACCTATTTATCCTCAGATCAGTTAGAGCAAGACACTGGCGATATTTTTATTTGAAATATAAGTAAAACAAATCCCAGTTCAGTCGCCATCAACCTTTTATATGCCTATACTATTAGCAGCTGTATTCTTCCGAAAAAGCTTACAGAATGATAGTCATATCCTATTAAAATTTCCAATCAAAAGCAGCACCCAAATTGGACTAATTCCAAGAATTTGGACGTTTCACTTTCCTTTAACCATCTGTCTTGACTAAGACAGATGTATTCCAAATATATGTACTCTAAAGTGTTGAACCAATCCCTTCAGAGCAAATCCATATTGAGCAAATATACAGAGTGTCTTTATTAGGCCATCTGCTGTTCATTCACTGTTCAAAAGATTAAAGTAGTACACAACGAAGCACTGGAATTTCTGTAGTCTAATCAATCATAGCTGTACTTCAAAGTATACACTTCCTGAGTTGTTCATAATGGTACTGCAAACCAACTTTTAGAATTGTATAAATGACAAATAGGTTTGGGTTCCTATATATTTTATGAAATATGATATATTTCTATATCCAAGTCTAATGAATGCCTTTAAGATCTACTGCTTTGAACACATGCAGAACTTCATAGTTTTTAAGCTATTTTAAAGATATTTAGAACATTTAGGAAAATGTAATAGAAGGAAAAGAATTAATTCCTCTTAAATGCGCATTAGGTTAGCTTGAAAACTAGGAAATATTGGACAATAATTTCTAGACCCTGTGCAATCAGTTTCAATTTGAAAGTTGCACAGCATATATATCAAAGCAAACTACTTATAAAACTATAAAGGGTTCTCTCTCTTATTTGCTAAACTCCTGGAAGATAATTACTCTTCCTCACAACACCTCAATGCTCTTTATGAAGACGAAACAGTTAAACAAGATGATCTTGCAGATTCTCAGGTCAATGAACTTCAATGATCCACTAATTGCATCTCTGCAGTTTTTTGACCAGTAATGTAATTAGATTAAATATCAGGCCATTTGTTTTCCTCTTATTTACTGAACTGTATTTTGAGAAGCGGGAGATCCAGCCAACTTTGAAAAACAAAACAGGTTATCGTACTACTGTAACTGGTACAAAGTAAACTTTACAACAGCTACAGTGGATGAACTGTTTTTCTTATCAAATCATTCATAGTAAAATTAGCATTTTTACAGAAAAAATGCATGATGTAATTAAACAACTCTGCACACCCATCTCTCTACTTTGTGCATTCAGAAAGACTTAAGAAAATATTCTTGAATGTGCCTTGTTTTCATATTTTCATTTCACCTTAATGACTGTACAAATAGTATTGTACTAGTAGTTTTCCTTCTTTCATGGACCTAAATTGATCTATATTGGGATAGAAAAAATATAGATGCCCAGAGTCTTTTATTTGCATATAGTTTATAATATTAGAAACCTCAACACATCACTGAATATTCTGAAGACATTGAATCATGCATGTAGCTAGGCTATGTAACCCATGTTCTATTCACTATTACTCTCATCCTCCCTTCTCAAACCCTTCTGATAGTTTGTTACACCAATTTGTATATGTTGAATTAGATTGTAAGAACTTTGGGGAACATATTTTATATATCTGTATATCACCTAGCACAAAGGGACACTGACCCTGACCAAGTCCTCTGGGTGCTATCAAGGTTGCCTGACATTTTCGGTTATAAAAACCTGTTTTCAGCTGCTTATAACTTTGCCAAACTTTAACTGCTTGGGCTGAAAATTTCTATGCTTGATATCTATCTCAGGCTGATTTTTTTTTTTTTTTTTGAAAAAGGTCAGCCAAAATGGTCCAAGAATGAGGCGAGGGAAAGAGAGTTGTTTTGCCCATGTTAAAACATTCTGGGGACCTTGTCTTAGTGCCCCCATGTTTTGGAGCAGGGACTAGAAATGTGACTTTTGTGTGAGGAATGTGGTTTTGCTGTCCCTGTGAAAATCCACCCAAATTTTGTCAAGTTATAAGCCTTTGAAAAATCACAGTGCACACAGATGCAATAGTGACCTTTTAAATGTTAGTAGCTAAATTCCCTGACCATTACTCTGCAATGAGAATGATCCAGTCCAACTGTAGGTCTGGACTGCTGCAGAGCTGGGTTGGGACATCTGAAATGAGGGCAGAGAGACTCTCTCTCCTGTGCTCACAATGACCCCCTCATGGGCCCAGGCAGCATGGTGGAGGAAGCTGCCTGCTTCGAGGACAGAGGGGACAAGAGCTGGATATGCAGGGAGGGGAGAAGGGGAGTAGTTTGGGGGGTGGGGAGGGAGAAAGGGAAACTGGGGCTCGGAGTTGGGGTGGGGGGAGACTGGGACCAAGAGCCAGTGTGGCAGGAGGCAGAGACAAGTATGGAGAGTGTAGAGGGGAGGCAAATCTGAGAAGGAGCTAAGGGGTCGGGGGGAGAACTGGAACTGACTGGGCAAAGAGACTGGGGCAAGGAGGAAAAATTGGGACAGTGTCAGTGGGGATGGGGAATGAGTGTGAAATAATGTTTGGATCCCAGGGTCGGGGAGACAGATGAGTTCAGAAGTCAGATGGGGGAAATTGAGAATGGCTGGGCAAGGAGACTGGAACTGGGAGTCAGGGTGACTGGGACGAGTAGTGTGGAGGGGTGAGATTAGTACTTGCTGGGCAAGGAGAATAGTACTGGAGTCAGGGGAGACTGGGATGAGGAAACTGGAGGGGTAAGACTAGGATTTGCGGGGCAAGGAATCTGGGGCTGGGATGAGTAGCCTGAGGAATGGAGCCTGGGACTGACTAGATGAGAGAAATAGGACTGGGACAAGGACCCAGGGGAGGGTAACAGACAGGACAGGGACAGGTTGGAGGGGATGGGGCAAAAGAGGGTCACCCTTGGGGGGCCCAGGCAGACGAGTCTGTGCTCATTACAGCATACTCTCCTTCAGAGCCTTGAATGGAACCCAAGATTCTTGAGTCTCAACCTTCCTCTGCTGTTAGCAAATATTTGAGAAACCCACTGGCAGTCTGTCCCATCCCCCTCTAGTGTTGATCCACACAGAAAATGACAACCTACTACTGCTATCAGTTATTCCGTTAGCTCAAGTGGCAGAGATCTGTGTGGTGGATCTAAGGGTTCCACCTTGCTCGTGACCCATGTAGGTGTAAATATGATGCCATATGATGGAATTTCTGATTTTTCAGTTTACTTGTTAAAAACCAAGGAAATAAGTTAAGAACATTATTACGATTTCAAATCCAAACACTCAAAAAATAGGATATTCCAGAGTTGAAGTTGCCTGTGCAACTGTAATTCAGCCTCCTTGTGTATGTACATTCTGATACAGTGTTTACTTACGTGATACAATATTTTTTCCACAGGACCCCTGCCTCATTTAGTGCACAGGATCGACTAACTGGGGGATGAACCAGGGATGTGTAGTGATGGAGACTTATGTATAGAACCCCCTGATTTTTTTGTTGCAGAAGTTGGAAAGTATGGAGTGAGTGAGGCAGGGGATTGCAGGAAGATCTCTGGGTTAAGACAGCTGAATGCTGCTCTGGAGAACTAGATTCTACTGCTTCCACCACAGAGTTCTTGTGATGCAGGGCAGGGTTTGAATAGTGTGCAGAAAATAAGGCCTGGGGCCACACATTGAACAATGAGGAAAATACAAAACATTGAAACGCTGCTCATTAAGTGAGCACTATCCATTCAGTGCACTGAATGAGGCAGGGATCCAGTGGGAAAAAATAGTATGTGATCTTCTAATGAAAGTTTGTACCGTAATGCATATGCACAAGGGAGACAAACTGAGATTGTGCAGGCAAACTTAATTCTCCATTTCCTAACTTTTGAATGCTTGATTTTGTAACCGTAATAATGTTCTTCAAACCCAGTTTTTTGTGTGTATAATAAATATTTACTGAAAAGGGATGAAGATGGAAAGCCTAGAAGTTGCTTGCTACTCCATTAAAATTGTTAATAATTCTCAAATTCACCTAACTTTCTAAGCAACTTAAACACAAAACTGTATGCTGAACTAACACGGCAGTCAAGGCAAATTTGTCAAAGCAAGCAAATTCAGAGTTAAACTTTCTCAGAGTCCTGCAGCCCCATGTACAGTACATTGATATTTCACAATATAGTCCTCTACAGTATCACTGAGTTTCCTGGATTTTATAAAATATTAAATACCAAAACCAATTTTTTACATATACACCATCCTATTGTAGTAGAACTGGTACACAAAATGATTTGTCTACTTAGTTAAGCCATGCCGGGGAGAGAAATATTTTCTCAGTGGTAACTTCATAGAGCATTGGGGAATCCTCAGAGAGATTACATGGTACGTATTGTAATACCAAAGGCTGAATTAAGGGGTCTGTGAGAGTTTAACTCTAAATTTACTAGAACTGAGCGGCTTTTCTTTCACCATTAACATTAGTTTATTGAGTCTGAGATGTGACATTTCCTATTTATTTTAATATGTGGCCTTTATGCTATTTAACCTTTACTTGGCTCTAATGTAGCATATATAAGTTTGCAATTATATTATGAGATCAAAAAATTAATGACTGAAGTCAAGTTCACAGGTACTTCTTATTGTAAAATAGTTCTGAAAAGTAACTAGCATGCATGCTTGCTGGCAAGTTTCGTCCCAGTGTGATTTCAAAGAGTCAAAATATTAACCTTTGAAAATGAGGATTTATTATAGAATCATCTATACAATCTCAACTGTCATTACACTATAAACCCAATCCTGCCCTGGTATATACCACCGAGCAGTCTGTCTGTTCATCACTTCCAGTTTTCAATAAGGTCACTAAGCAGTGGTGGATACACTACATTCTGCAGGGCTTGTTCAGCCTCCTCCTCAGCTCCAATGCACTGCCTATTGTCTACTGTCTGTAAGTCAGGAAAATAGGATGTAACACAGTTGAATACCCCAAGCAAAGACAGTACACAATGGTGGAGACTCAGACTGGTCTCAGCACTGGGAGTTCATCAGTCACTTCACTCTGGCCTCAGTTCAGGAAAGCTTTTAAACACATGCTTAAGTCCATCCTTACTCAACAAAGCATTTAACAGCACACATAAGTTTAAGCATTGATTAAGTCCCTTTAATGGGGCTTAAGTGTATGTTTAAGTGCTGAATCAGGGTTCCCAAGAGTAGGATATACTCCTCACTGTGGTCTGATGTCATCTACTTATATCTATTCATGTAAATTTAACAAATTAGATGGTTTCAACTCACGGACCTGAGCATTTTATCAATCCACAGAATTTTTTCCCATTCCTCTTCACCCTCCCACACATATCCCCTTGCTGGAGCTGGCTGTCTCTGGCTGCCAAGTCTGCATCCATAGGGAACCTTTGCTCCAGAAGAGGGGATGCCTCATGATGGATTTAATTGTTTTAAAAACTATAGGGTAACACTGACATTATGACCTTCTCAGGTGGTGGGGTGTTCAGAATGGCTGGTACTTGTCCTAGGAACATCTTGCTGCTTTAACAACAATTAGATCCACTGTATTCACCTTCCCCTTAAGCCAGGATCCCCCATGACTGCAAATTTGGCAGCCTGGTTTGACCAGCTTTGTGGCATAGATGCTAAACAAAAAAAAACATATGGAAAAAAGTATCTCTCTGATTGTTTCAGCTGGTATATTTGGAAAGTTACCTGCAGCTGCCATAAAAAAACAAAACAAAACACATGCACACATCCTGAAATAGTGGCAAGGTAGCACCTCAGATAAAATAGCTACAATTCAAACTAAAACATAATAAAACAACACATTAAAAGCTCTGCTTTCACTCCCCCCCGCCCCAATAAGCAGCTATGTGCACATACTACTCCCTCATTATTGGCCCCACACCTCTAGCTGGTGACTGACGAAGTCTGTACCATGGTCAGAGGGGCTGCATTTCTTCCCTCCTGATAGTGCTTTCCCCTCAATCATTTTGTATCTGACTCTGTGACCCAAGATGGGGAAGTAGACTCATGTTTTACTTTAATACATAGGCACTAAGTAAGTGGTCTGATTTTCAAAAATGCAGAACACCCTTCACCCTCTTGAAGTTCATGGCAGCTGCTGGGTGCTCAACACTCGAAAATCAGGCCCTTATTTAGGTGCCTAAATATGGATTTAGTAATATAACTCTAACCATCCCTTCCTGAAATTCTTGCCCAAAACTTTTCAATACACAGAGTAAAGCCCAGATTTCTTAAATATACAGTATGGGTCAACAAAGGTACACTACCAATACAAAATCACAATTATTTCTGCTGGTGGTAAATTTTTCAACTAATTGCTTTTTTTTGTCTAAAAAAATTCTGATTTGGCAAAACCAAAACTGTCCATGAAACAGAGTCCATTTTGACAAATCTCTAAAAAAAGGTTGAAAAAAGTTTTTAAGTTGTCTAAATGGTATGTTTTAACCTCTTTTAGACAAAAAAAATTCAGTTTTCCTGAGTGAAATGACTTTTTGTTTCAAAATTTAAGCTAATTAGAAAAGACAAGGCTAAAAAAAGAAAAACTAAACATTTTGGAATTATTTAACAAAAAGTTTCAGCTGACCTGAACCTTCATATTGTATCCAAATATATTTTGGAAACAGCCCTGGGGACATATTACATTCAGTAACAAAGTTAACTTATTCTCAGCCTGCTGTAAGCACCATGATAACTCAGACATAATGGGCCTGATCCAAAGCCTACTGAAGTCAATGGGGAGTTTTCGTTGACTTCTACTGGCTTCTGTGTGCTTTGGATTAGGCCCAAAGATGTTTATAGGTACATTATTATTCTCTTCTCTGCATTAATATGACCAAGATCCAATGTTGTGTTATAATGCAAGCAATATGTACTTTCTTGTACTTCAGTAACCTTTAATACTTTTCAGGCAGCTACTTACAATAATGTTTTGTGTTTTTTTTCAAAAGCCAACTGGGAAGATAAGATTATTTATATTGAATCAAACAGATACTTTAAATTTAGACCCATGGATAAGATAGTTTAGGGCAGCCTCATCAGCTAATGTGCACTATTGGCGTGAAGTTTAGGATTACTAAAGCAATACAAAACCCCCCTGATACTTAAAGCAATACAGCCTTCAGATTTACATTTTATAAATTCTAATTGCTACTACTAATACAATCTAATTTATCTCACTCCTGCTGATATTATATGAGCCTACAAACTAAAAAATGCTACAGTATGTGACCATTGTTAAATATTCTTGCACACAAGAATAGTTGTAGTAAATATGTTTCTTAAGAACACAGCTGATGAGAACTGCAAGTTAAGGTGTTTTCAAAAAAGGTATTATTACTTTTTGGTATTAAAGCCTAATTTATAACTTTCACAAAGTTTAAGAGGTGTCCTCCATGCACTGACATGTTCATTAGTGAAAGTTACCAATGCTACATTAGTGTGTATCTCATAACATGTGATCTTATTATGGCTTTACCTGACCCAGTAAAAGTGTCAAGCGATCCATCTCCAGTTGTGGTGGTGGTGGTTGTTTCACTGCTGTTCATGGGCTCTGTTTTGACTGCAAGAAGAGACACTACACATAGAAGAATAAGTAGACATGAGATTTTATTTCTAAATTTACATCAGAGACCTCATGCCAGTGTCACGAGTGGCAGTCCAGCTAGAACAGACATGCGATTGAAAAGTTTAGAATTTTATGAGAACAGTCTACTACTGCACTTTCTGAAATGGCCACACATGCATCTATTTATGTCTCTATTTGAAAGACTGCTATAATTATCTGGATTAATATCAATCTAAATCTAACTGATTCTAGCAATTCCCCAAAACTAGTGGACAGGAAGGAGAGGAGAGTATATAGCACATAAAAAATAGTTATGCTTGAGAACCAATACAATATGTTTTTGTTCTCTTCCAGCAGCATATTGCTTTCACAGTGCAAGCTTTCTGCCACCCCCAAACCAGTGTGTTTTTCTACCTCAAAGCTAACCCACACTGAAATTGGTGACTTATTCTCCCCAAAGGAAAAAAGAAAAGAAAAGAACTATAGGCAGTGCACAAATGATAGCCATGAAAATTCAGCTTCTAATTAATGTACTAAGAAATAATTATACAACATAGACTTCCGCTTTTATTAGAGGCTAAGCTGCACTAGGAAAATAAAAAATTATAGCTGCACCACAATTACATTCAGAACACTCGTACTGTTAGGTAGATGTGCATATTTACAGCATATATTAGTTGCCAGTGGATAAATACTGGGGGCCTGATTTTCATTTACGTGAAGGCTCTTTTACACAGCCAGAACAGCATAAAGGGGCTAAGTACAAATGAGAATCAGGCCTTGTATGTTTTACTAGACATGTGGTATATCATGCATTTTAATTCTACGAACAAAAAAGTCTGGAATTTTCAAAGAAGATTAAAGGCTTACACTGGGAAATTTACCAGCAGAACAATAGCGTTATAATTATACCATGTATTGTTCGGCTGATCAATTTTGCCATATTTACAAGTCCTAAGTGAATTGGGGAGTTAACTCTCTTAAGCCTAAGTGAATTGGGGAGTTAACTCTCTTAAGCCTGGTCTACACTGGGGGGGGGGGGCGGGAATCGATCTAAGATACGCAACTTCAGCTACAAGAATAGCGTAGCTGAAGTTGATGTATCTTAGATCAACTTAGAATCACTTACTTCACGTTCTCGTGGCGTGGGATCGAGGGCTGCCGCTCCCCCATCGACTTTGCTTATGCCTCTCGTCAAGCTGGAGTTCAGCAGTCGACAGGAGAGTGATCGGGGATCGATTTATCGCGTCTACACTACACGCAATAAATTGATCCCCGATAGATCGATCGCTACCCGCCGATCCAGCGGGTAGTGTAGACGTACCCTTAGGCCCCTTTCAAAATCTCAGCCAAATTCTTTGGTGGTTTTTACCTGAACAAGCTATGAGGTCTATTATAGCTATTTGAAATTACACACACCTGCCTTTGTCCCCCATCCATAATGGATCTTTCATAGGCAAATGGGTGAGTTGGGTGATTGATACTTAACAGTAACACTACAGACAATACATGACCGCACATGAAATATGGGTGGAATTTGGGACATTGTGTATATATGCAAATTTCAAACAAGGACTGTGGAAATTAACTTTTTGATTATTTATGGGAATTATGTAAATCTTAATATGTAAAATGTGAATTTTACAGGATGCCAACAAATGGGCAGCCTGAACAAATGCAGTGTGGCTTCACAGTGTAGGATGGGAGAGATAGGTCAAAATAGTTTACTCCTATCAATGGTCCTCCTATTCTCCACTGCACGCTCCTGGAAAACAGGGTCATGGAGATTGCTCTGCACATGTCAAGGTTAGGGATATCAATTTAAGTGCCCAAAAGAAAGAATTACTTCTTCAGAAGGCCACTGAAATTGTTCCACAGCACCAGAAAAAAAAAAATCAACAGCAGCAACGTATTTTTAAACCAAATCCTATGTTTCACCACATCTCTGTCCTAAGATAATTTCCAAGAGATGGAGGGTTAAAATATAAATGTGGAAATGGACTGACTTTTCTTTGCACTGATAATAAATAGCTTTTGCAATGAGAAAGCAGTTGGAACAAAAAGAGATGTATGCCAAAATTTGGGGAATGTGTTTTTATACTAAATACAATACACATGAGAAATTAAGGAAAGCTTTTCTCCATAAGACAAAGATTGTCCTGCATTGCTGCTAATGAAACCTAGGGCTATCTGCTGCATAAATGACAGTTGTGCTGTCAAAGGGAACACTTTTTACTGACTTGATTGTGAAGAGGCTCAGGCCTTGCACCTCTGTCTCTACATATATCAGAAAGTATGCAGCTTGCTAATTTGGTCTTCTTTGCAGTCTCTGTTCCCTTTATGACTGCCACAATCTCCTCTTCTCCATCACAGTAGTCTATGACTACCTCAAAATCTTTAATGTATTTATTCTCACAACACCCCTGCAAAGTAGGGAAGTGCTATTAACCCAGCTCTACAGATGGAAAACTGAGGCACAGAGATCCTAAGTTCTTTGCCAAGGTCATACACAGACTCTCTAGTGGAGCAGGGAATTCAACCCACGTCTCCCAAGTCCTAGGTTAATGCCCTAGCCAATGGACTATCATTCTTCTCTTGTAGCTAGATTGATAGATATTCAGAAAAGCACTTTAGTATGTGCTTAATTGCTTTACTGAATTGGGGCCTAAATACTGAGTTGAAAAGTATTGTACTGAACTATCCCTATCTCCAATCATTGTGATGTGCAGCACACTTTCCTGGGCACAGATATTCACCAAGTTTTCCTCTCCTTGTCAAACAATCACTCTCCCCCAACTCTCAAATTAATTTAATTTGATAGAAAACACCGAGTTAGAATTACATTTTGTCAACAATACATATGGAAAATATCTTTTGAGATATCCTTGATTTTAAACAGCTCTAGTCTATTACATTCAGATTTTATCAGAGTAAGGAAGTCATTTGCATGGCTAGACTTTTGGAATACTGCCCTTATTTTTCATGTTGCACATAATTAAACCATGAAAAAACAGCATTAAACTAACCAAAAACCAGTTTAACTTTAAAAGAAAAAAAAAGCAATAAAATTTAAAGTTGAGATCAAAATATAAGCTCACACCATTTAAACACACACTGTTTTGCCTACGTTTTGTAGCACATATAACACAGTGTGTGGCATTACGTAATGTGCTGACACTGCTACAATATCTATCCTAGTAAGGGGAGCAGGGTGACTTAAAAATTTGAATTACAGTGTGTAGCCCAAAGAAATTGTGTCGAGCACCAAATGGTCCGAGGTCAGCCACGACCAGTTGGGACGTAGATGGTCAAGGAAAAAGCAGGGGGTTGGATCCTGGGCAGTGGCTGGGGCACCGTCCTTGGGCACATCCTCAAAATGCCCATTTCTGGCTGTCCTGGTCTCTGGAGGGGCCAGGCTGGGCCGAAGAGCAGGAAGATGAAGGGTAGCATTGCTTAAACCCCTTGTTATTCTCCTTCTCTCTGTAGGAGTTGGACTTGGGGACACCCCATGATCTTGATGGAGGCAGAGAAAGCGGAGGCCGGAATGGCTTTCTAGCCTGTTGAGGAGTGTGCAGGCCCAAGGACCGGAGGGTGGCACGGGAGACATTAAGACTGTGAAGCCGTGCATTGGTCTGAGAAGAGCCCTGCTCCCTCAAACGGGAGATCCTGCAGGGCAGTCTGCATCTCTTGGGTCAGCCCGGAGGACTGTAACCAGGAGCTGCGCCTCATGACCACCGCAGAGGAGACCACCCTGGCCACCGAGTCTGTAACGTCTCAGGCCATCTGAAGGGCGCTTCTCGCCACCGCTTTGCCCTCATCCACTAATGGCAAACTCCTGGGCTTGGTCCTGTGGAAGGCCCTGCTTGAACTTGCTGATGGAGTCCCATAGGTTGAAGTTGTACCTGCCTAGCAGGGCCTGATGATTAGACACCCAAAACTGCTGCTGGCTGTTGAATAAATTTTTCTGCCATATAAGTCCAGTCCCTTGGTGTCTTTATTTTTGGGTTTGCCAGTAGCCTGGCCTTGCCTGTCCCTTTCGTTGATGACAGACACTACCAGAGACCCTGCAGGAAGGTGGGTGTACAGATATTCAAATCCCTTTGCTGGGACATAACATTTATTTTCCGCTTTCTTGGAGGCAGGCGGAATGGAGGAGCGGGTCTGACACACAGACTCGGCAATTTTAAGGACCCCTGGGTGGACGGGCAATGCGACCCAGGCTGGGGTGGAGGAGAGTATGACATTGAAGAGGTCGTCGGACTACTCCTCTAGCTCCTCGACCTCAAAGTTCAGGTTAGCAGCCACCCTTTAGAGCAGGGCCTGGTGCTCCTTGAAATCATTGGGGGGGGGACTACTCGCTTGCGAGGGGCCTGCCACCGCCTCGTCTGGGGATGACGAAGATGACTGTACCGCAGGGGGAAGGGCAGCTTCCCCTTGCTTGTCTGGGGATGGCTCTTTGGGTGTCGGGGCCCACTGCAACGCTCCTGTGTCGGACTCAGCAGCGTGCTCCGATGCTGGTGCTGGCTGGGCTGGAGGGAGTTTGTCCGATGCGACCTGAGAGGAGTACAGGACAGGCATGATGGGTACACCTTATAGGCTCCAGTACTGCCACTGGGTGGGCCACTGCCCCTGCTGCCATGCTGACAGGGCCGTCTCGCACGTTGTCGGTGATTTGGCTCTCCTAGGTGAGGGGCTGAACTCTCCCTCCAGCTCGGACCACTGTAGATGCCGGAGTCTGTCATCTGACCCTTGTCAGCAAACAGTAAGGAAAGGGCGAGGAACGGTGCCTGCATGACCAGGAACAATCCCGCACTGAGGGGGATTGATGCTGTTGTGGGGGGGACTGCCTAGGCGATGGGGATCTGTACTGTGGTGATCTCTGGTCGGAGGCCCGGCGGTACTGCAGGTACAAGGATAGGCGTCATGACTCGGGTGTCCTGTGCTTCGTAGGTGGCGACCTTGGTGTTAGAGACCTGAGTCTTCTACCCAGAGACTGAGGCTGTGGTGCC